GCACACAAACTTGGTGTATATCGCTCATATAAATAAATAAATAAATAAATAAATAAATAAAGGCATACAAACTCGATCATATAAATCAAATAAATAAGACACCCAAACCTAGCGCATGCCTTCCAGCTAGCTGGGAGTGACTGCTTGGTATATTGCTGACTAGGTGTCCTGTAGCCCCAAGGCATACGTGTGTGATGGAGTCATTGGGGGAAAGGGGGAAGGAATGGCCCGAATTGAAATCTATAATTGCTGGCTTGGCAGTGCTAGAAGGCGCAGTATGGTTTGGGGACTGGGTGGTTGCAAAGCCTTTGGAAGGGACTGATAGTCTCTGAAGCCAGTGAGATATTTAGTTATAGCCTCAGACTTGTATTTAATTGTTAAGAATAACTTAAGCACTGATGTTGCAAAACAATTTTTTTAAAAAAAAATCTTATTGCTCCATTATGCTAAAAATGAAATCCAGGGGGGAAAAAAGAAAAAAAAATACAATTTTCTTCATGTTTTCCACAGAGGATTTATCAACCCAGATGAAAAATGAAATGTATATTTTGACCTCTCTATATCCTATTGTGGGATATTATTATTGTTGTTATTGTTATTGTTATTAATATTGACTTCAAGTCAGTTTTTGACTCCTGGCAACTGCCTGGACTAGCCCCTGCAGTTTTCCTGGCAAGATTTCAGAAGTGGTTTGCCCTTGCCTGCTTCCTAGGGCTGAGAGGGAGTGACTCAGTTCACTCAGCTGGCTTTTGCCTAAGGCAGGATAGAACTCACAGTCTTCTGGTTTCTAGACTGTTGCCTTAACCACTACACAAACTGGCTCTGTATTCCTGATGTAAAGAAACATAAATACTGTCAATCATAAGACAAATGAGGAAAGACAAAGGACTTCAAAGTCTTCCCAGGCACCAAGGAGCTCAAGGTCCAATCCAGTGACAAACAGAACTGAATGCAGAGCTATTGTCTAGAAAATAATATCTGTAACTCAAGGTTGAACTGTAGAATCCTTGGGGTTCTCTGAGCTCAGTTGTTTTCTTGCAGACGTTTCATTACCCGGCTAAGGGTATACTCTATTTATATAGAGTAGCTTGTGGCTACTGAGAGCAAACCCCACTCCCTTCTAGCACTGAAGATGTTACCTTAGCTGGGTAATGAAACATCTGCAAGAAAATAACTGAACTCAGAGAACCCCCAGGTCTCCACCAAACTACTTTCTCTTTTCAGGGCTCTTTACTGTAGCGCACTTTTCCATTTGTTGTAAATTGTATTTTCTATATACTGATAGGCAAAATGTTTCCAGAAGAAAAGACTACAAAATTTGCGTGTGGACATCTTGCGTCAGCCACCGTACCCATGTATTAGTTTGGGCTGCTGGGACATTACTCCCATAGTGTTCCACCACACCAGCCATATCTATATTGCTAATCTCAACATGTTGCAGGTGTGCTAACATATTTGGTTCCTACCATCAACAGTTCCACTGTTGCAAGGGCCCTTCCACAGAATGAGACACAGCAGGGGCAGCATTAACAAAATTCAGTTTCTAATTGCGTGTAGCATATCTTTCAGATTAAGGGAAAAACTGAGGATGCCTTGCCTCCTCCTTCCTCCTTCAAAGGCTAAGGTTATACCTGCGATTTTGGAGCTATTTTTTGCTTTCTGTTTTTGTCAAAGAAAAATTGAGACTTAGCCAACAGCTTTCTTGCTAAATGGTGCAGGTCCTGGAAGAATATATGGAACGCCTTGGCTTCAGCCTATACGGTGGTGCGCATGTTTCAGAGCTGAACCATCGCTAGCATGTTCCGCAAATGTAACAGGAAGAGAGAGACATTATGGCAAGCAAAGCAAGGAATGATCTAGTCAGCAAAATGGCACTTGTCTGCAATCAACGTCTTGAAATACTCTATAACCACAAGAAGTATGTAGCAAAATGTTGAACGTTGTTAGCTACACAGGAAGTTTAACGCTGTGATATCTCTAACCGATCAGGAGAGTCAGAAGCCTCAAACCAGGAAAGCCTTTAAAGTAGCTACAGCATTTGTGAACACTGCTGCAAAAGACCTTCCTGACTGTGCTTTCTTTCTACTTTGCAGGATGGCAAGGCAAATGTGAAGTCCATTATGGCGAAGTTTAATAACAACTCAGCGGAGGATGTTCACTGCCATCAGGTCAGAGCTGGGGGGCAACCTCTTTTGGTTAAAAAAGCAGCATTTGAGAAGTTTTCTCAGCTTGAAAATGCTGGTCAACCTGCCAAGCCCAGCAGCTGTTACAAACCTGCATCGCTTAAATCACCTTTGACCACAAAACCTCTTCATGATGCATCAGGGAAGGATTTAAATGCACCTCCTTTGCACAGCGGCCCTGTGGCCAGCAAGGTGAAGATGCTAGCTCAGGCTGCTAGCCGAGAAGCTAATGAAAAAACTAGCTGCCCTAAGCCTTTGGGTCCCAAGACTTCTGAAGGACTAAGAGAGGAAACCAAGCCAGTGTTCCCAAAGGCTCCTGAGAAGAGGTTACCTGGCTCTCCTGCCCAGAAGAATGAACTGAAGCCTTTGGATCAGAGGGTCTTCAAACCTGAACCTCCAGGAAGTGAGGCAAAGCCTGTCTTTTCCAAGGTCGCTGGAGTTAAAGAAAAATTCACCAGTGCTGCACAGGAAAACAACCCCAAGCCTTCTTTTCCAAAGCCACCTATTAGCCAAAAACCAAGTCAAAGTTTCATCCAAGGTGAAGAAACTTCCAGCAAAAGTGCTTGTTTTAATCAGGGATCACCAGGTTCCATGGGCCTCAAGTCGAAAGCTGGCTCCATCCGACCTCTCAAAGACCCACAGGACAAGAGCAGAAATGAAACTAATCTGATCAGCCCTTTCCCACCTTTGAAACCTGTCAGTAACCAGAACAACCTGCCTCAAATCCTCCCCAAACCTGTTGGGCAACAGAATGAAGAGGCAAAACCAAAACCAATCAAGAATATTTTCCAACAAAACAAACAAGAAGATTCTGGCTCTACATTTGGTACAACTGCTACTAAATTGGCCAATTCATCTAGAACAGTTACAATAGGACCTTGGGCCAATAACATTGGAAAGGAAGAGAAAGACAAAAATTTGCCCAGACGAAAAACACTACCTTCACCAATTACATTGGGACCAGCCCCACAGAAACCTAATAGGCCTCCAACAGTTGACCTGGAAAAATTCAGGAAAAATGGAGAACGTAAGTAACGTGTCTATGATTTATGGTTGATTTTATGCTTGGCAAAAGCTTTTCTATGCTTAGAGATCACCTGTGAGCATGTCCCATGGATTTAATAAAGTGGTTTAATAAACAATTAATAAATTCTATTTAATTGTGTTAGACTGCATTGTACATCTTTCCCAATTCAGGGTTTGCAGTCTCAAACAGGCACCTGGTTGGGGTGGTTATTATTTGCTACTAGATGATAATGGGACTCTATTCTGACTTACACTGAAAGGTGAAAAATAACTTCCAGAAGTGTGACTGGAAGAGAAGGTGCTAAGAAGATTTGCTGTACTTAATTTTCCTCAACAGCCATTCTCTTCTCTCAATTCCCTCCTTCATTTGTCTTTTGCTTCCAATGAAAAGACCAGTGCATGTTTTCTTGCTTTTTGAGCAAAGTGATCTTATGAAGGCAATTTGGAACAGCAACAATGTGACACAACATTGCTAAGCATTTCCTTCTCCTTCCACCCTCTGCTTTGTAGATGTCACAACATTGTTGTTCTCAAAACTTGTTTTCTGCTTCAACAGTAATAATTCCACGTGTCTTGAGGTAATCTCTAATCTAGGGCTCAGGTAGGAACTCCATCTGTACAAGAGGGATAAAATTATATCACGAGAAGTTGCCATTTCATGCTCACTTCCGTCCCTCCTTTAAGGATGTAGAAAAAACATAGAAACAGGCTGTAAGAAGAGATAAAGAAAGTTATCCCATTAGGGTTATTCCAGCTGGCTTTGTGGATAATCTTAGCACCTCAGAGAAAGAGGAGGAGATGAATCTTTCTGGATCTGCTTTTTCCTAATTTGGAGTTTCAGACTTGTGAAGCTCATGATCCCTGGAGAGCTGTACAGTTGCCTGATAGGTGGAAAATATATGTTCATCCCACTTTCCTTTGCAAGCTTAAGGTAGCACATGTTGGTGAATGCCCTTATTTTATTTTCACACTCACACCATGAGAGAGTGTGATAGGCCCAAGGTCACCCGGTGAACAATGGCCAGGTAAGAGACTTTACTTTGAATTTCCCTGTCCCGGCCCTACATTTTAAATGTTCCAGCACATTTGTTTTCTTGATTCCAAGAGCAGTTACTGATAGGGCCATCCAGGGAGAGGAAGGATTGGGGGGTTCAAAAAAGTCAAGATGGTAGATGAAATTACAAAAAAGGGGCAGGGCTTTACTTGCACAGTCCTGCCCACAATCCTGGTTTTGTTTTGTCCTCTCCCCTGCGGACAACTCGGCTTTTTTTATATATGCTAAAACACACACGACTCTATGCGCTATACACTGATATACATTATATCACTGTGAAGTATGTGATTATTGTGTAAATTTCACATTTTTAATGTAGCATGATCTCCAATTCAGTAAGCAAAACTTGTTGTCTAACCCCTAAATGTTAACCCAAACTTCATTTTTTCTTTCTCAGTTCTTGTTTCTGTCTTTGTTTCTTTTAGTTTATGCTATGGTTTTCATTAAGGTTTGCTGTAAAATTTCTAAAATTGGAAGTCTACCAAGAGGTAAACAAAATAGCATGAGAAATATGTCTTTATTACGTTTCTGTCTTTAGGGAAGTATGAAAACAACAACAGCCACTACTATTACTACCTGCTTTCAGTAGGAGGAAAGAGTCTCAATGTCTCCTCCACACAAAGTTTACTCAAACATAATTCCAAGATGACACCCTGCAAAAAAAAAAAAATATGAGCAATGATGCTTGTTCCTTGTTGCTGATATTTGTAATCTTATAATTATGAAAAGATGACAGCAGATTTTTTTTGCTCACATTTAATTTGGTCCTGGTGCTATTAAAACTCTTATTAAAACTATACCTTCTATTCTATTTGGGTTACTGTGACATTTTACTTTTCCGTTTTCCTGTTCCTCCTGTTGTGTGTATTTTCAACACTTTTGCTTGCTTAAATTCTTCTTAATTAGATCACATTGATTGACAATACTTTCAATAATTCATTTATTTGACTTAATCTTATTTGCTGGAAAAATGAGATCTGTCAAGGAAGTTAACAGTAAAAGAAAACCTATGACTTAAAAAAGACAGTTTAAAAGCAGAGTTAAAATAATTTTTTGTTCTTGTTTAGTCGTTAAGTCGTGTCCGACTCTTCGTGACCCCATGAACCATATCGCGCCAGGCCTTCCTGTCCTTCACTGC